CATCCAATAGCATTGATGGAAAAACTCTTCTCTTTACCCTCATGTGGGAATTTAGTGTGCTTGTTGGCAGACCCTGTGAAGTTTTCTCTTATGCCTTCATAAGACAACAGTAAGACCCCTTTGAATGTTGGACAGCTCTTGCCTTCCCATTTTGTGTCTTTGAGACTCCTTGTAAACTAGCTGATGCAGAATGTGGGCAAAGGCTCGCTGCTTGTAGGTCACCCTACTGATTTCTGTCCTTGGCTGTGTCTCCAAACGGAGTTTGTGCCCTCGAGTCTTCATTCTTTATGACGTATCAGAAGCATTTCATACTGCTGGGCACTCTCTTTTTCTAGATCCACTTCTTTTCACTTCTTTCCAGATATCATCCTAGTTTTCCTTTGATCTCATTGGAAGCTCCTGTTCAGTTTTCTGGCAGATCCCTCTTCTTCCTCCCTAACCTCTCACCCCAGAGCCCAGCCCCCCTACCTCGGATGCTTGTACTTAGTTTCCTCCAGACTTCCCCCTTTGCTCCACCTCAGGCACATTTTCCTTTTCCTGACTAAGCCCGGGATCCTTTCTCTGTGATAAGTCACAGCCGCAATGCTGACTATATGCTGAGTGCTGTGAGTCCTCCTGGGGAATCACTGAGTGGTACTGAATTTGAGTCATATTCTGCTCTGGGTAAGAGAATGATGTATCTTCATCTTGATAGTCCAACAAGTATGGCATATTACAGTTTTTCAATGTATCTGGAGTACATGCTGAAAATACATGACATTTATGAAATATTGTTACTTCCCCCACAAATAAAAACTCCAATAAAAGTGTGCGAAAGTGTTACATTTTTTGGATACTTGTTGCTAGACTAAAAGTTTAGTCATCTGGCGACTTTTATGGTTATATAGTGCCATTAGTAATAACAAATGATGCAAATCACATTTCAGAAACCTTCACATGTATATTAAAACTCATTATAAGTTTATCTGCTATGCATTTTTTTTTCACTTTCTTTAATATCTTGACTTTATTTTACTCATTACTTTTTTTAACATAAAAGGAGGGTTTGGGATGGAGTTTTTCTTCCTCCTTTTTTTTTTTTATGTAGTTTCTTTGAACGTGTCATTTTGAAATAATTTTATACTCACATAGAAGTTGCAAAAATAGTGGCTTGTAATGATAATTATCAAAGCCATTAAATTCACATTAGTACAATATGATACAGATATTATTTCAATTTTACCAGGTTTTATATCACATACATTTTTTGGGGGGGGGATATAGTTCTAAGAAATTAAAGTTTATCCCATGAAACCATCACCAGTGCCCTGGCTGGCGTGTCTTGGTTGGTTGAGCATTGTCACGCAAAGCGAACAATTGCCAGTTTGATTCCTGGTCAGGGCACACATGCCTGGCTTGCGGGCCGGGTCCCTGTTTAGGGGCGTGCCCGAGGCAGCCGATAGATGTTTCTCTCTCACATCTGATGGTTCTTTTCCTCTTTCTCTCTCCCTTCCCCTCTCTCTAAAAATAAATAAATAAAATCTTGAAAAAAGAAATAAAAGAAACCATCACCAAAGTCAGGTTACAGAACTTTTCCATCATCCCAAAGAAATCTCTTTGTACTGGCCCTTTAAAGTCACACCCTCCCATAACCCTGCAACCAGCAATCTGTTCTCCATCAGTTCAATGTTGTCATTTTGAAAATGTTATAGAAATGGAATTATTTAATACGCGGCCTTTGGGGATTAGGTATGTTTTTTCATTCAACATCATGTTCTTTAAGATCAATCCAAGTTGTTGTTACTTTGTTTTTAAAAATTGCTGAGTTTTATTCCACGGTACGAATGTATCATAGTTTGTTTAACCATTCCCAGGTTGTAGGACTTTTTGTTGTTTTCTTCAATGTAGGTTTTAAAAAAATCATAAAAAGGGTAAAAACCATAGCGATAGTTAATGTTTATTGAGTGCTTATTATGTGCCAAGTATTGTGCTAATACTACTATATTCCTTTTTTTTAAAAAAAGGGAAGTTTTCTTTATTTTTAATTGTGGTAAAATATATATAAAATTCACCATCTTAACCATTTTTAAGGATGCAGTTCAGTGGTGTTAGTTAAGTACATTAACATTTTTGTGCAATCAATCTCCAGAATTTTTCACCTTGCAAGCCTGAAACTCTATATCCATTGAACAACAACTCCCAATTTTCTCCTCCCCCCAACTCTGGCAACCCCCATTCTACTCTCTGAATTTGACCACTCTCGGCATCTCGTGCGAATGGAGTCAGGCAGTATTTGTCCTGTGACCAGCTTACTTCACTTAGTGTAATGTTCTCGAGGTTCACTCATGTTATAGCCTATGTTAGCGTTTCCTTCCTTTTTAAAGCTGATAATATTCCATTGTGTGTATGTGCCACGTTTTGTTTTTCTACTCCTTCATTGATGGACACGGGGGTTGCATCTGCCTTTTGGCTATTGTGAATAATGCGGCTTTGAACTTGGGTGTATGCATATTTCTTCATGAACTTGCTTTCAGTTCTTTCAGATACATACTCAGAAGTGGGATTGCTGAGTCATATGGTAGTTTTTATTTTTAATATTTTGAGAAACCGCCATACTGTATCCACTGTGACTACACCATTATAAAGCCTCACTAACAGTGCATCAGAGTTCCAAATACTCCACATCCTTCCCAACACTTACTATTTTCTCTGTGTGTGTGTTTTTTAAATAGCCATCCTAATGAGTGTGAGGTGGTATCTCACTGTGGTTTTGATATTCAAATCAAATCTCCTAATGATTAGATCATTTTCTAATGGATATCTTTTCATGGGGTTGTTGGTCTTTTGTACATCTATCTCCTTTGGAGAAATGTCAAATCCTTTGCCCATTAAAAATGTTTTTTTTTGTTGAGTTGTACAGATCCTTTATGTATTCTGTTTATTACCCCTTTATCAGACATAGACTTGCAAATATTTTCTCCCATCCCGTAGGCTGCCTCTGTGTCCTTTAATCCTCACAGCACCGTTCTCACCTTGACTTCTTAGACGCGGAAGCTGAGGCGGGGGAGGGTCAGGAGCTTTCAGCCGCCTGCGCTGGTTGCAGGGTTACTCTGCGGTGGGGCAGCGGTTCAGATTTGCACCGAGGGCCTCCGGAGTCCGCCCTTTTCGCCACGCCGTTATTCGCAGCTCCTTTCTCGGCCAACTTTAAGAAAACAAGTCGCCTTGGTTTCTGTGATTAGCCTCTGTGGAAGGCCTACTTTAAGAAGCAGGCTAAGCCCTGACCGGTGTGGCTCACGTGGTTGGGGGGTTCTCCCACAAGGCAGAAGGTCGCCAGTTTGATTCCTGGTCAGGGCCCGTGCCTGGGTTTGAGGTTCGGTCCTTGGGGAGCTCATGAGGCAACTGACTGATGTTTCTCTCTCACATTGATGTTGCTTTCCCTCCCTTTCTCCCTCCCTTCTCCTCTCTCTAACAATAAATAAGATCTTGAAAAAAGAAGTAGATCGCTCTACATTTTTTTAAAAAGTAGTTGATCCTCACTATTTGCAGATTCCGTATTTGTATGTTTGCCCACTCACTAAAATTTATTTGCGATCCCAAAACTGATGCTCATGGTGCTTCAAGTGCCATTCATGGTCATGCGCAGAGTGGCATGGCAAAAAATTTGAGCCACTTGATGCACATTTTCCCAACTGATGTTAAACTGCGACTCTGTCTTCCTGTTTCAGCTGTCACACTGTTAGCCAGTATCCTTTCCCTGGCCTATTTAGTGCCATGTTTATTTGTTTCCTTGGTGATTTTGCTGTGCAAAATCAAATGTCATGCTGAAGTACCGTCCAATGTTTCTAAGTGTAAAATGGCTGTGATGTATGTACCTTGTGGAGAAAATATGTATAAGCTTCATTCAAATAAGAGTTTTAATGTTTTTGGCCATTGAGTTCAATGTTGATGAATCAATAATAAATAAAATAGCTTTAAACCGAAACACACACACAAAAGTTATGTACTGATTGGTTGATAACAATGTTGTGACTAGAGGCTCATGGCCACCTAACATTGTATTTCCCCAGGGCAAGTGGTTCTGTGTTTGCTAATTCAGTGTTTGCTGGGACCTTATGGAACATAACTTCTGTGAATAGGGGGAATGGACTGCATTTTCTGTTATCATTGAAATCAGTGTAGCATGAGGGAGAGCCTCATTTATGTCCCGTCTGCTCTCGCAGCATCCCAGGGTTCTGTGACGCTTGTGTTGTCATGCAGAAGGCCCAGTGGGCTTTCACATGCACCCTGTCGGTAACTCAGCGGTAGGTGTGGTTGGTACGTGCTCACCCTAGATGAGGAACCAAAGCACAGAGAGGTTGTGGGGTTGCCTGGGGACACACAGGTAGTTAGTGGTATAAATGGACCTACAACCCAGTTTTCCTGCTTCTTTTTTGGTGTGAATTTCCCTTTTTCATCTTGTCTTTCTACAGTTAGAATGGGGAAGGGGAGTGAGTGCTTTGTGAGTACCTGTCATGTGCGAGTTCCAGCGTTTGCGTCATTTGATCTCATTTGCCCTTCTCAGCAGCTCAGTGTGACTGCAAGGAGGCGCTGCAGTCTTTTCAGTGACCTAACTGGAGGGGAATTAAGCATTTTGCTAAGGAACTATGTGCTAACAAGTAATGGTAGGATTTGAATCTTCATCCTCCAAAGAATTTTTTTTTTTTTTTTTTTTTTTTTTGCTGCTTCCTGCCGTTGTCTACTAAATCTCCAAGTGGCCCAACATCTGTACATAATTTCTTAGTCTGGCTTTCCAATGTCCTTGCAAAGCATCTGATTAATGCTTCCACCCATTTGGATTTGTGGTTTCACATAGGTTCACAAAAATACAAAAAATTAAAGTTAATACAGAACTGTTTTTCTCAAAGTTGTCCAAGTTTAATTTGCTATGCCTTAAAAGATAATTAATTCATAATTCATGGTGTAAAGAGGATTTTTTTTGTGAAGTGGATTTCTTTATTATAAATACGTGTTTTCTTTTTTAGAGTGAACGAAAATGTCTTTATTTAAAGCCCGTGATTGGTGGTCTACTGTTCTGGGAGAAAAAGAAGAATTTGATCAAGGCTGTTTGTGTTTGGCTGATGTTGATAATACAGGAAATGGACAAGGTAAGTACCTTATGGCCATACATGTTGGAGCAAAGCATTACATGGGTGAAATAAAAGCAACTTTCTTTTAAAATATGTTCTTTATAGAACTTAGGTAAACTGTCATAATTATGCACTAATTTTGAAGATAGTTTTCCTTGTAAGTGATGTTTAGGTAGCAGGATGATAAATAGAATTTGAACTTCTGTTTAGTTGTTTGTGTTTTTCTGGTTGTGTTGATTCTGTCATGTTACTTGCTGGAACTCAGAAATATATTATAAGACATCATTTAATTTGTTTTTATTTGTTGCAAAATTAGCGTAAGTAGTAAAATATTTTAAATTTTTGAAAAATTTTCTTTTTTAGAAATTATTTGAGAGAAAAATTACATTCTTTTAAAGTTGAATCTGAGACCCAGTCATACAAGAATGGAAAAATTATGCAAGCTCTGTTTGTTGGTAGAAAACATTTGTTAAATCATTGCTTTTGTTTTCATATTATAATTCTAGAAATAGCATTCTGTGTTATTATTATAGTATTTGCTCCTTTTTGCATCCTCATATATTTAAAGTGGTCTTTAAAAGATTTTAGTTCTATATCATTGCTATTTGAAGTGTGTATTTCATTTTAATGATGTACAGTCATGAGCACTTTTTTCCTCTTTTGTAATCTAGATAGTCAACCTCTTTTCTTTTTTTAGATTTTATTTATTTATTTTTAGAGAAGGGGAGGGAGAAAGAGAGGGAGAGCAACATCGATGTGTGGTTGCCTCTCGATGCTCCCTACTGGGGACCTGGCCCACAGCCCAGGCATGTGCCCTGACTGGGAATCGAACAAGCGACCCTTTGGTTCGCAGAATGGTACTCAGTCCACTGAGCCACACCAGCCATGGCATGACCTCTTAAAAGGAATGCTTACCATGGTATGATTGTTCCTTTGTTTGGTGTGCCTAATCATTTTCCACGAACATTTTTCTTTATTCTGTTTTTCTCGCCTGTAATGAAAACAGTGACTCTGGGGGACAAGGTGAAAGGAGAAAATTATGTTGCCAAAGAAGCATGGGGGGCACTAAAGTGCAGTGGGCACTTTAGTTTGGTGACATGAAGACTAAAAAGGTTCCATGCCATTTAGCAGCAAGTGGTTCATTACTGTCCTTGATGAGGGTGGATGAGAGGGCACAATGGTAACAAATCAGATTTTCACTGAGTGAAGCAGTGGAAGTGGGGAGGACTGAGCATTTACAGCCTTTTAAAGAAACTTAGGGGTGAAGGGGAGAACGGAGGTGATGACTAGGGGCAAAGTAGGGTAAAGGCAGTGGGGAAAATTCAGTGTCACACGGGGGACATAACCGATAGAGCAGGCCCCCGGAGAAGACAGCCAGAGGCGGGATCCGGTGTGCGGATGGAAGGCCGGCCCTGGCACTGGCGCGAGGGCCTTCTCACTGGGGCAGAAGGAAGAGGGTAACAATGGAGACAGATGAAGAGGAGTTGGCGCGTCAGGCTGGGAAGCTGAGGCAGGAATGCCAGTTGACCCCTACTTTCAAGTAATCTGAGAGTGAAGGGATTATATTAGGCATCTTGAAACTGTTTTAGGGGAAGCTGACTCAATACATAGAAGAAGAATTCCTCGCTCATCTTGAGATCCCCGTTGAAATTAGACATTATGTGTTTCAAGTGGTGCGTACTTTCCTGTTCTTCTCAGTTCAAGGTTCAGCCTCTTGAGATGGATAATGAGAGCGGGGGGAGAGGAGGGGGAGAGGGAGAATTTGACTGCTTTCAGGTGAGATTACGTGCCAAGGTGTGGCCCGGAGGGAGAGTTTAACACAAGAATCAGTAGAAAACGTATAAGGCTGACTGAAAAATAGCTCCTCGGTTTAAACTATTCACTGAGCCACACCAGCAAGGGCAGAATCCTTTTTTTTAAATAAAGATTTTGTTTTATTTTTACAGAGAGGAGAAGGAAGGGAGGAGAGAAACATCAGTGTGGGAAAGAAATGTTGGTGGGCTGCCTCTAGCATGCGCCCTGACCAGGGACCTGGCCTGTAACCCAGGCATATGCCCTCAACGGGAATCGAAATGGCAACTTTGCACTGTGTGGAATGATGCCCAACCAACTGAGCCACACTGGTCAGGGTGTCAGAATCCTTTTTATACAGCGTTACCAATAGCTGCAACCAGCAGGGGAGTTGATACTGATTAAATCAGTTTACAGCATTTTACTAGGCCTTTGATAAAACAGCTTGCTTTGACCGTGTTAAATTATGACTACTGATAACCAAGTTGAGGTTTAGGAAAAAAAGTAATATGTTACTGGTAAATGTAAAGCTACTTGTGAAAAGCTATATGGTATTAAAATAAGTTCATTTTGATTACATCTTCTATTGACAGATTGGGCTTTGCATATGAAGCAAGACTCAATTCTTTTAATTTTTAGATTTATTTTTTAGATATTAGAAAGTTTATTTGCAAAGAAATATTGTTCCTATTTGTTTCTTCCTAATTCTTTTTTTTAAAAAAATCTTTCCACAGATAAAATAATTGTGGGTAGCTTTATGGGATACCTGCGAATCTTTAATCCTCACCCTGTAAAAACAGGAGATGGAGTTCAAGCTGAGGATTTGCTTCTGGAAGTTCATCTACAAGATCCAATACTGCAAGTGGAAGTAGGAAAGTTTGTTTCGTAAGTACAGCCCATAAATGCGGGTATTTTATTTTACTTGGAATATATCAAGCCCCTTACTGTGTCACATTTGTGGATTCTTTAAAGAAGAAAAGACTACCCATGAGTTTAATATATTTTCTGGGCATTGTCAGCTAGGTATTCCTCATTTGCTGAACATTTTTTAACATGGAAACGTGTACATTTAAGGTCAAATCGTTTAGGACATTTTTCATAGTTACAGACCTAAGATGCCTGATGGATCAGAAACTTAAAGGAAAAGAGATAAATGTTTGAAAATAACCAAATGAAGAAATAGAAAGTATTCATTTAAAACACTAGATGTCCAGGTTATATAAGTGTCTCTTTAAATACTTAGACAAAGGAGCAGTAATGCTATTTGGCACATAACTTTGAAGCTTTAAAATGAATGACGTTTTTGGGGTAGAGAGGTCCTTAGTTTCTTAAAAGGAGCCAGACTAACCCACAAAGTTGTCCTCCCTTACAAGAGCTTTATTTTAGAAAACTGTTTATTAGCTTGCATTTTGTTTAATATGTCTACTTTTTATTTACTGATGATAGTGCTAATTTGATTTTATTTTCATCCATGAATTTTCTTAAAATAAGTCTGTATTTTTTTTAATTACTTTTATTGGGTAACATTGGTTAATAACATTATAGCTATTTCAAGTGTATATTTCTATGATATGTAATCTGTCACATTGTGTACTCAGCACCCAAAAAGTCCAGTCTCCTGTCACCAAATGCTTGACCCCCTTTCCTCTCTTTATTCTCCACCCCATCCTTTCCTTCTGGTAACCTTTTATGATTTTGTTTTGTTTCTTCCTTTGTGACTTTCTGTTTTATATCCCACATATGAGAGAAGTCACATGGTTCTTGTCCTTTTCTGACTTATTTTGCTTGGCACGATACTCACAGGACCCATCCATGTCGTCACAAATGGCAGTCTTTCATCCTTAAGCCTATATTTCCTAATCATTTATAAAAATGTCCATTGTGAAGAGTTATGTAAGCAGCGGTGGTCTTGTTTTCTCCGCCTGTTCTTTTTGAACCCCGTTTTGCCTTCTTAAGTCTGGGAATGCCCTGAGCTCTGAATTTTGCCTCACTCTGTTTGCTTGTTATAATTAAAATTTATTTATTGATTGATTTTTTTAGAGAGGGAGAGGAAAGGAGGGAGGGAGGGAAAGAGAGAGAGAGAGAGAGAGAAACATTGATTTATTGTTCTGCCCATCGATGCATTCGTTGGTTGTTTCCTGTATGTGCCCTGACTGGGGATCCAGCCCATAACCTTAGTACATCGGGATGGTGCTCATCAAAACTTATTGGTCCCAGCCTTTAATTTCTTTTCTTCAGGGCCCTGAGTCCTGCTAGGAAAACCTGACCGTTCCCCCCTTTTCCTGCTTTGTTTCATTCTGCGGGGAAGCTGCTTCATGGACGCATTAGGCCAGGGATTTTGATGCACTGCGGCAGGGTGGGTGAGGAGATGGTGTGACTGACGTAGTCAGTAAACACCTACTCTGTCTAAGGGCTGATGGTGATAAGGCGCCCACGGTGTGCTTCGCACATATTACACAGGATGGGTTTATACTGTAAGGAGGTTCCTGCCTCTAAAAAGCATGTTTACCTTTCTGTTCTTTTCAAAAAGTGAAGTGCTGTGACAGTCATTCTGCCCAGTAGTCCTAAGTGGGGCCTTCATTTCTGTGATCACCTGTTGGAAGGGAGGAGGTTAACATCAGTGAGTGGCTACTGTACAAATGCTAATTAACTAGTACCGTCTCACTATTCTGTCTGTAAGCTGTGATCTGCCTGTAGAGACGAGGAAACTCACTGGGGCTCAGACTTTAGCCGGGGTTCAGACCCAGGCCTGTCTGACTCCACGCTTTACTGTCTCTTTGTGGCATCTTTTGCTGTGTGTGATGGAAAAATTGTTTTGAGTGTTCAGGGCACATATAAAAAATTTTGAAGGCAGTATCGATTATATGATCATTGTGCATATTTGCATTTTCTGACAGTACAGTGAGTGGTGTATATATATCCACTGTAACAGTGTTTTGCAGGTATTATCTAATATAGTTTTTATTTTCTAAAAGAGACTAACCTTCTGAAAGATCGAATGATCACACAGATATCAAGGTGTGGAGTCGGGACCCTAACCCAGGTCTTCAGACTTCCACGATGTTCCCTGTAGTTTAGAACAGTCTGTAGAACGCAGGTGATACACTGGAGGCCTGCTTGCAGATGTGTCTGAAATTGAAGAGACTTGCCAACATTTAAGAATCAGGAGGAGATATTGCTCCCCAGTGTATAATGTCAGTGTGGCTCAAATACATATATAAGCGCGCGCGTGCGCACACACACACATACACACACACACGCACCCCCCCCCCCCCCCCCACTGCCAGGATATTTCACATAAAATCCCTGCATTCTTGAAAAAAAAAATGTGGAGATGTGGCCACAAGCCCAGACCTGAATACTAGTGACCTGCCTTGGTCTGGCCCCAGTCTCAGTGGATCCCATCCATTTATACTCTTTAGTCATTTATACCCACTTGCTTGACCCTTGAAGACTGGATTTTGGGTTTCTAGAATCTGCCTTCCTTGTCTCTTGACACCGCTCAAGAGGGGCTGGGCAGTGAAGCGGTGCCAATGGCCAAACTGAAATACTTCTAGTGCCTTTCATACCGTTTCACAGCTGCAAGTGATGCATGCCCTTTAAAATCAGTATTGTAAGTTAATAATGATTAGCATTCTGTGGTGCTTTACACTTATAAGATGCTTTCATGTGATTCCATTTCATGCAATTGAAACCTCTTATTTTCCAGAAGGGGAAACAGGCTGGGAGGGATTAAGTGATGTGGCCAAGGCCACAGGTTAATGAGCTGGAGAGCCGGGCCTGCTGGGTTCCGATCTCTTGTGGGCGAGCTCGTGAAGGGGCCTCCAGGCGACTCTGACTCCCAGGGTGGGGTGGCCCTGGGCTTCCTTCTGGAAGCGGCTCCTCAGCCCTGCCCTGGAGCCTATGGGACTGTCCGACTGGCTCTTGGTTGTCACCTCGATTTTTTAGCTTAGAATGTTATCTAGGGAACTGTTTTGTTTACTTGTGGTGAACTGTGGGTGTAACCTCTGTTAAAAATGATTGTTAAATTTTTTGGTTATGTCTGAAACTAATATTTAAACTTTTAACACTTTCCCTGTTTTTCAGAGGTACTGAAATGCTTCATTTGGCTGTGCTGCATTCTAGGAAACTTTGTGTCTACTCTGTCTCCGGTAAGAAACATTTTTCTAATGTCAAATTTCTATTAAAAACTGGGCTTTTTATTTTTACTTTTTATTTTTTAAACTTATTTTTTTATTTTTAAAAATATATTTTATTGATTATGCTCTTATAGTTGTCCCAGTCTTTCCCCTTTGCCTCCCTGTGGCCAGTACCCCCATTCCCTCCAGCAACCCCCCCCCCCCCGCAAGTTCATGTCCATGGATCGTGCATATAGGTTCTTTGGCTACTCCATTTCCTATACTGTTCTTAACATCCCCCTGTCTATTTTGTACCTACGAATTTATATTTCTTAATCCCTGCACCTGTTCCCCCTTTTTCCCCATTCGCCTCCTAGCTGATAACCCTCCAAATGATCTCCATATTCTGGTTGTTTGTTTAGTTTGTTTTTTATTTTTAACTTATTTTAAAAAATATTTCATTTATTGTAGAGAGAGGGGAAGGAAGGGAGAAAAACAGGAATGTCTGAGAGGTACGTTGATAGGTTGCCTCTTGCACGCCACCAGCCGGGAACCTGGCCCCCAACCCAGGCACGTGGCCTGACTGGGAATTGAACAGCCACCTTTTCAGTTCATAGGCTGGCACTCAATTCACTGAGCCACACCAACCAGGGCTCTTAACTTGTTTTTTAGATTCATTTGTTGATAGTTGCGAATTTGTTGCCATTTTAATGTTCATATTTTTGATCTTTTTCTTTTATATAGTTCCATTTAACATTTCATATAATAATGGCTTGGTGATGATGAAATCCTTTAGTGTTACTTTGTGTGGGAAGAACTTTTATTTGCCCTTCCATTGTAGATGCTAGCTTTGCTGGATAGAGTAATCTAGGTTGTAGTTCCTTGCTTTTCATCGCTTTGAATATTCCTTGCCAGTCCCTTCTAGCCTGCAAAATTTCTTTTGAGAAATTAGCTGACAGTCTTATGAGAACTCCTTTGTAGATGACTATCTGCTTTTCTTTTGCTACTTTTAAGATTCTTTATCTTTCACCTTTGGCATTTTAATTGATGTGTCTTGGTGTGGTTTTTTTGGGGTCTAACTTGTTTGGGACTCTGTGCTTCCTAAACTTGTATATTTATTTCCTTCACCAAATTAGTGAAGTTTTCTTTCATTATTTTTTCAAATAAGTTTTCAATTTCTTGTTCCTCCTCTTCTCCTTTTGGCACCCCATGATTCAGATGTTGGTACATATGGAGATGTCCCAGAGGCCCCTTACTCTATCCTCATTTTTTGAATTCTTTTTCCTTCTTGCTGTTCTGATTGAGTGCTTTTTATCTTCCTTATGTTCCAAATCGTTGATTTGATTTTAGGCTTCATCCCCTCCACTGTTGGTTCTCTGTAGATTTTTCTTTATTTCACTTAATGCAACCTTATTTCTGTCTAGATCTTTTTTATGCTGTTGTAGTACCCAATAAGTTCTTTGAGCATCCTGATCACCGGTGTTTTGAACTGTGCATCTTTTAGGTTGCTTATCTCTATTTTGTTTAGTTCTTTTTCTGGAGCTTTGTTGTTTTTTTTGGGGCCATATTTCTTTGCCTCCTCATTCTGGCAGCCTCCCTGTGTTTGTTTCGGTGTAGTAGGTAGAGCTGCTTCGACTCCTGGACTTAGTAGCGTGGCCTAGTATAACAAAGCACACCTGTGAGTTGTGTGGGGTGGAGCCTTAGGTAATGGCCAGGGCGGGGCAACCCATGTCACTGCCCTGTGGCTCTGTGTGGGGGAGGGCTCCGAGAGGGCTCAGTGCCGCTGCCTGGCTTCTAGAGAGTTGCCAGCAGGAAGATGTCTCCTGGCACTCACCCTGTTGCCAGTCACTTCACTTTCTCCCCGTATGCCACTTGTGCCCGTGTAGCTGTTGTCCTGGTGCTCAGTCCCAGAGGGGGTGGGTCTGCATAAGTCCTGAGACTTTGCAGGCCCTTTAAGAAGAGTCTCCTGAGGATCCTGCCATTTTTTCTGCCGTCCCAATCCACACTGGTTTTTACAGACAGAAGTTATGGGGACTTATTTTTCTGGAGGTGGAACCCTAGGCTGGGTCATCTGGTCCGGGGCTGGGATCCTTCGCTTCCGAGGTATCCCTCTCAATTTTTATCGGCCACATGTGAATGTGGGCCTCCTGCTCTGCTGCGTCTCCGCATCTGTGTCTCCGTCCCTCTCTGAGTCTCTCCACCTGTCCACGCCCTGCCGCGGATCTGCACGTCTCTGCACCTCCTCCCCGTCTGGGCAAATGTGGCTTCTTTAAATCCAGTTGTCAGACTTCCATGCAGCTTGATTTTCTGAAGAATCTGGGTGACGTGAGTTTTGCAGTCTGGTTGTAATTTTTGTGTAGTTGTGCAAGGAGGCTAAGCATGTTTACCTATGCCTCCATCTTGGATGAAAGTCTGGGCTTTTGAATATTATGAAAGAGTAGATAGTTTCTAATGCTGACTTGGTAGAGAACACAAGATGTTTGGTTGAAGGTTTTCTTATCTTTTTAAAAAAGGTTTTATTTATTTTTAGAGAGAAGAGAAGAGGGGCAAAAAGAGAGGCAGAGCAATATCAATCAGTTGTCTCCTGCATGCCCCCAACCAGGGACTTGGCCTGCAACCCAGGCATGTGCCCTGGGTGGGAACCAAACCAGTGACCTTTCAGTTCATAGGCCAGTGCTCAACCCCCTGAACCACCCCAGTCAGGGCCAAGGTTTTGTTATCTTGGTTAGCATTTTCCCTTTGTTCATTTATTCTTTTGGGTGCTTAGGCTGTTACATTTTCTTGGCCTGCTATTTGCATGCGGAGTTACATTTGTAGTAGAGGGTTCCTTGTAATCTCCTTCCTCCCAGGAATTATGTCCAGGATTGCTCTGACTAAGAGGACAATTCTGGGTACTTAAGGGCACTTCAGTCTTAAGAAATATCAATAGCAATAACAAATTCATTAGAGGCTGAATCATAGTGGTTTAACGTACATTTTCTTTGGTGAACCTCAAGTATTTTTTCTTTACAGTTCTGCCTTCTTGGCCCTTGGTTGTCTACTCAACCAGACCTCAAGGTGCTTATCCGAGGCTTAATCAGGTTTCATTCTCAACACTGTCCTTTGCGTACAAGTGTGGTAGTTAAATGTGGCGTAGTTTCAGCATTTTGGCCTTTATTAAATATTAGAGGTAACTTTAAAAACTTTGTTTCAGTTATTAGATACATTTTAGTTCAAGTTGAGAGGTTTATTCTTATAGATGTTAATATTGGGAAGTTTTTTTATGGGTGCTACAGGAAAGCCGAAGTCTGTGGGCCTATTCCTTGTTCAAATGATAGACATCTTTGGAGTTTGCTGTAAATATGGCATTTAGGATTTGGATTTCTCACACTCATTTTCTTGATTTGGGCTTTCTTTGTATTATGCTTTCAGTCTGAATACTGATTTGTTTTCTCTGTCACTGAGCTAGATATTTTTAGGCAGTCTCTTTCGGGGGTAAAGGTCTGTTGGATTCCTAAGGCAGGCTTGGTAATTGGCATGTGGTTTGTGGTAGCATATTTGTTGAATGACTGAATGAACTAACTTCCTGGTAATGCTGAGGCAGTTGGTGGTGGCTCATTATTACTCTCTTCATGTTATTTTCTTCCTTCTTTTCCTTCTCTGTTACCACTATCATTTCCTTTTCCACCCTTTTTACATCAGAGGCCCTATATAGTCTCATAGTCATTGTTAAACATTCTCGCTGGTTTCAGAGTAGAAGATGTTGCTTCTCCTGGTGGAGGGCAAATATTTAGTGTCCCAGAGTCAATGGAGAAGGTATGATGTAGGACACTTTATTGCATGAATCTCGTTCTTTTGTTTTCCACTATAAACCTGTTGACTGCTAGTACTATTTTATTAACTCTGTCACATGGACCACAGAAGAGAAGTCTTGGCCACGGTCACCGCTCAGTATTTTAGAGAAGTGGTCCCTTCTGGGGGCTCTGTGGTGGCTCCAGGGGGGCAGGAGGGGCAAACATGCCAAAAACTAGAAATTAGGTTGGACTCTTGGCCTTCCCTGGTCCAGTGTGAACCTTGACCCGGGAAGACAGAAGCCTTTAGAGTGCCCCTCAGGCAGAGAGCGTAGACTGGGGGTAAAACATATATGTTCAGTAAAAAAGCCTACTGAAAGAAACTGCCATGTTTGCTCACAGCTTGTTCATGGGACATGGGTATCCTCCTTCAAATCAGTGTTGAAAATGAAAGTTAGTTGCCACGAGAATGGTGATTTTTATCACTCTTTTATGCGTTGCACTCATTTGCAAGCTTCGTGTTCTTTTACTGTAACGGGGAGATGCATAAACATTTTCTCAGAGGCAAGTCAGCAGAGGCAAGTGTTGCTGAACTTGACATCCTTACCTGCAACTGCCCCTCCCCACTTATTTTCTGTCTTTAATACGCTGTGTGTGGCTAAAAAAGCTTGGAAGCAAACCAGAGGAGACCCCCCGGACAGTCAGAGGCCACCGTGCTGACTTCGTTTTGGTGGGTGATAAGTGGGCCACGGTGCGCTTAATCCAGGGAAGCGGCAGGCGGGCTCCTGCTGACCGGCCGGCCGCCCACCTGATCGCAGTCAGGTAAAGAACGGCGCCACGCGTCACCTCGGGTGCCCTTGGGATGGGCGGCAGCTGCCGAGCGGGCGCCGTTGTGCGAGCTTAAGCCACACTGATGATGTTCTCTTAAATGGTCTTTTCCAAAACGTGCGTCCTTCTCAACAAGCATTTACTAAGCATTTGACATATTTATGGAATTTAAATGTTTGCCATGAGAGGGCAAAAACATGAGGTTCCTTTCTTTTGACGGCTTACAAAGTCTAATTTGGTTATTTAACACAACGAAGCTTTTTAACTTACTCTGTAAAGGTTTTTATTTCATTAAGCATCATTAGATTTCTCAATAGTTATTTAGAATGGCTCCAAAACTGTTTTCAGTGTGACCTTTGATTTTCCGTAGGATTTTTTAAATTTAAATCAGACTTTGTTTATAAAAGGCTAAACAGCATAAATGTTCTAATTTCCATTTACTTTCTGATTGATAAAACTTTATAATAACTTAAGCTGTATGTGGACTATAATTATAGGTATATACTTACTATATTCAGTCTGTAAAAAGGGCAAAACCTATGCAAGTAATTTCAATCTTATGTCATTGATGCGTCTCTAGAAAAAAAATTGGTCAGAAGTTTTAGATTTTCAGATATTATAAGGTGGTAGCTATGGCTGCATGGCCTTTTGTTCTCTATAGTTACACTACTGAGGTTTTAAGTGCTACCACCTGAAATGTAGACCCTTACCAGTGTGTGTGGAGCGCTTTCAGAACACAAGGCCGACTGTGGCGCTGGGCCGGCTCGCTCAGTGTTGACCGCCGAGCCCTGCGTTCGCTGACCGTGCGGCCAGCAGGCGTGTGTGAGTGCGTTCCCCCTCAGGGCATGATCTGCTTTTGGGTGAAGAATGAAATTTGTAATCTCTGTAGGGACAAACCGAATGTTTCTTGGAACTTCTTTTCTTAGGTTATGGCTGGGAGTTATTTGGTTAGTGGCTCCCGCCCCCCCCCCGCCGCCGCCCAGCAACACCCCGACTCCACCCAGTGGCTAGTGTGGTTGTCATTACCCCTCACTCAGTGCCTGACTGGTTTTACTGCCATTTTGGCTCCAGAAAGCTTTCATCTCCTGTCAGGGTTAGCTGGCAAATTTGAGTCTTTCTCTTTTTTTATTGTATTGGCATGTGAAGCCTATTACTATCATTTTCAGGGGCGTAGATCTGAATAGAAGTGATTCTCCCCCGAGAAGCCGTCCCCTGTTAGTTTTTTTTTCTCTTTCAGCCCTCCTCCACCTTCCAAATGAGTAAGAGGCCAGGCTGGGAAAGGGGCAGGTGGAAGTGACATATTCTTCATGCCACCCTCCTTTGGGAAACTGCCATCGGCTCACCAAGTTCCCTGAAAGTTGTTGAGGAGGGACAACCAGGCACTAGGTTGTGTAGTTCTGGATCTAAAGACCGAGCTTGAGTACTGTGTCCTTTACCAGCTGTGTGATTTGGGGGGAAATTAATTTTTTTTAATCCTCACCCAAGGACATGCTTACTGGTTTTAGAGAAAGAGTAAGGGAGGGAGAGAGAGAGGGAGAGAAACATCAATGTGAGAGGGAAACATTGATCGGTTGCCTCTCTTTTGTGCTTTGTGCCCTGACTGGGGATTGAACCTGCACCTTTCAGTTTGCAGGACCATGCTCCAACCACCTGGGCCACACTGGCCGGGGCTTAAGTTTTTTTTAATGTAAGGTGCCTCAGTCCTAAAATGGAAATAGAAATAGAAATATTTCTGTTCTTACAACCTCAGGGTTGTTCGTAAATCCTTCTGGACAAAAAACAAATAAATGCTCATGTATACATATGTCTGTATGTGTATATACATATGCATCTATATTTATATTGTTTTAATGATCTAATACTGTACAGTTTAGGGGCTGTTTTATTTACTTTATGATATATTAAGATTTTCTTTAACTCTTACATTTTTGAATGAATGACAAAGATGCATCATCATGGAAAAAGGTGTGTTTTTAATCCTTTTTCTTTTGAACACCTCTTTTAACCCTAATGTTTATACCTGATCACTGGGATATAGCTTCAACTGTAACTACTCTAGAAAGCCCAACAATCAGAGAGTAAAATATGGGTAAATAATCTTTTCTTATTTGGAAAGAGCTAAAAAGTGAGTATAGCACGTGTGATTGTGCTATACAAATAGAAATGTAGAGAAAGTATTCTTTGTTTTTAAGGAGATTCTTCTTGGCAGACTTCAAATAAAACATCATTGTCCTATTTACTTGCTGAGGGAAGCTTTAAAACTCTCCATTAAATTAGAATATAATGCATTAGTGCTTGAGTATTTTGAGAGTTGGCACAGAAAACTGAATTGCAAGTGTGGGGAATTTTTTCCCTAAACACTTCGAGTCATATCTTTGCTCTATTATTGCTTGTAAGGGCAAGAAACTTAATATCATTTATTTCAGAACTGAAATTGGAGGGTTTTGTTGTTATTTAAATAATTGCACTTTACTCAGATATAATGAAAATAGGTAATAAAGTGTTACCCAGGGCAGTATTTCACTGAGTGGTGTAATCTAGCCGGGGCGAAACTGTTTTAACAGTGCAGGCATTCTCTGTCCTCCGTATGCTAATTGTTCATAATACACTATGTTCTAATGCTTTGTCATTTTAAATTTTACTGAAATCCAATTACTTGGAATTAGTATGGAGGATGAGAAGAAATTAATATTTTTTAGAATAAGCAAATACAAAGCAATAAAAGGATTTCTTTTTCTCCTTAGGAACCTTGGGTAATGTGGAACATGGGAATCAATATCAGATCAAATTGATGTATGAACATAATCTCCAGAGAACAGCCTGCAATATGACTTATGGATCATTTGGTGGTGTAAAAGGTAATTTGCATTTATTCGTGAATGTGTTATTGCAAGTACCAGATTTAGAATACAGCAGGTCCTCAAATAACGTCATTTTGTTCAGTGTTATTTCATTATAATGTTGATGAGATGTCGTAGAAACTTACCTTTTGTTTCTATCAGTTAGCCTCTGGTAAGATTGGTTCCATTATATTCTGTTTTGCTCACGGTTGAAGAACCTCTCTGTGATGTTAAGTGAGAACGTATTTGGCCACATAAAAATGGATGATTATGTGGTATGAATCTCAGAAAGAGTTAAACGCATTTTACCAAAAGCTTTATATTCAAATACCTAAGCAAAATAATAAGGGAAAACTTAAAACATGAATGTGTTTGATTTTCTTATAACCAGCACTTTCATACAGTCTACAGGGACATTTCTAAAACTGCCTTTTCTTCAGATTTTGTCTTTCATTCGTGGGCTGATTGAAATTGAGCTTTTCTGTGCTGGAGCTGTGTGTCCACCTCTTGGTGGAAAAAGGGCTTGATCTCCCTGATGGAGGGTCCCTGCTCTGCCTGCTCTATTCCTGGCCAGGCTGCAGACCTCCCCCCCCGCCCCCCACCGGTCTCCAGGGCCATCTGCACAAGAGCTCCTGGGCCAGGGTGGTACAGGGTGGGGGTCGGGGTTGGGGGACGGCCAGTAGAGACAGATGCAGGCCTGATCCTGCTCCCCAATCTGTGCACCCCCAGAGGAAGGGTGGCTTTTGTAAACGTCAAAGCCGTCACCTCTACCAAGAACTGCTCAGAGTGAGTTCCTCTTATCCTGGAGGGCGGGGGGAGGGCAGTTTTTCTAACTAGCACAAGGGCTACCTGCATCATCTACTCCCTAGTCCCAGAGCCTCAGAGCGCCTGGCGTTTAGTGCTGCTGGTGGGCGCTGGCGCTGGAAGGCTGGAGGGTTTTTGTGTAGAAGCCGACCCCTTTCACTCCACTATGACAGCGTCCTCAAGCTCACTGGAGGACCAGCAGCCCGCTGGTGACAAACGCTTGTGTGATTTTTTTTTTGTGTGGCCCCTGCAGGACGTGTAACTAGGGATTTTATAACACGTTTGCCCTTTTCTGGCTGCTGTTTTGGTGAGTTGATTAGCCATTGTATTAAAAAAACAGCCTACTTACGTTAGGTTTTTCTTTAGTGACACGAAAAAACAACTTTATTTTGGAAGTGTCTTTCGTTCCTGTGAATTGAGTTTGGTCCTCCCTAGAGGTGAAGGCAAGGAATGAGTGAATTGGAGCACCCCGGTGAGCAGTGGGGGGTGTTTTGGATGGTGATGCTCAAAGAAACCTTTTGAGTAATTAACATGATATGATACCAAACACTGCTGGAATGCATAACTGCTTAACTTGAGTAACAGGAATGTTAGGACTGTTTGAGGAATATGGGCGATGTCTAGGGCGAGGTGGAGCGAGGACAGAAGGAGCTAGCATTTGATGGGAGGCTAACTTCTGTCAGTGATGTGTCCCCTCCCAGCCTCAGCTGTTAGAACTGATTTTCACTGTTCTTTAAAAAAAAGTCTGACATGATCGAGAGACCTAGGCCTACCGTGTTTAACTGAAATCTTCAATTCTTTTTTCCCCTACTAAATCCCCAAAAAGCAACTTGCTAAATTCTATATATCTGAAGGTCAAGAAATTAAAACATGAGAAAAAAGTGCTTTGACTAAATGAAAAACAGTTTTGTTTTATTTATTTATTTTTTGGTAGTGTCAAGACAATTCTTTACCTCACGTGTTAAATGTTATCTTTTATAGATTGCACTGTACTTTTAATTTTATCATCAGATCAAGTTAATAAAATAAAAAGTTTTAAATTAATTAAAAATAAATTTTTGGATTTCCTGTGACATTTTTGCTGGATTTAATAATGGACTTCCAAAGTAATAGACTTGCTATTTTGAAAAGAACAGATAACTTTGTATCTATATGAGACCTTCTTTTAGTTCTTAAATTATGCCTTACATTTCAAAACACCTTCAGAAGAGACGAGGATATTCTGACATGTTTTATTTTCCTGTGATTGAGCAGAATATTACAGTTTGAAACAGAGAAATAGCTGAGTAGTAGAAGGAATTTTTCCATTTCATGATTTTGAAATGCTTATCATTGTGGTATCTACAAGAAAACATGAAGAAACTGTGGGGTGGTAAATTAGTAAAAATTAGCCACATTGAGGGGTTGTTGGGGGGGGGATGGGGAGTTACTGCTAATAGATTCTTTTGGGGGATGATGAAAATGTTCCCAAATTTGATTATGGTGATGGTTGCATAGTTCTGTCCATGCACTAAAAACTACTGGGTTATATTCTTAAAAGGGTGATACATAAATTACAGCTCAATAAAACTTAACAAAAAATTAGCCATGGGATAAAGTTGATGTTAGGATATGGTAATCTTTATCCTGCGTTGCTCATGGTCGTGTAAAATGATGCGACATCCTTCTAAGTTAGCAGGCCGGCTATTAAGAGCCATGAAGATCTTCGTGGGTGCTGAAATGTGACGTATAGGAATGTATGTTAGGAAATGATCCAAAACATGAACAGTCATGTCAAGTTTCCATATATTTCTTTCTTTCTTCCCTCTTTGTATTTTTTCTTCTTTTATTTAGTATCTACATATGGGCATTTATTTGTAATATAGAAAAATTAGAAGTGATTAAATTGTGTAATGGTGGAGAATCACTGAGTTTTGATGTGTGGATTCAATGGGTTATTGAGAAGCTATTAAGATTAAGTTTTATTTGCTTGAATGAACATTTTTGAACATAATCTTTGTCTGCCTTTCTAATTATTTCATTAGGATAGGCTGCCGGAATGGAGTTATTCAGCCAGAAGGTTATAAAATATTTTTTTTCTCAATTTGGAAGATCCCCACCTTCAAATACTATATAAACAAATTGTAAAAAGTATAGAATTTAGAAAGAAGAAAATAAGTCACTCCAAGATATACACATGCCAAAAGAAAGTCTATTTTCTAAGCCTGTCTCTAGTATTATTTTAAGGTGTATTTTTCTAGGTGTGAGCAGATCAGTCTCTTGCAGGGGTGACCAACCTTTTGGCATCTCTGAGCCACGCTGGAAGAAGAAGGGTTATCTTGGGCCACACATTAAATACATTGTGACATGTTGACACACACACACACACACACACACACACACACACACACACACACACCCCTCCCCAGCCCCCCCAATAATGTTTTAAGTAAATTTACGATTTTGCGTTAGACGCATTCACACACACACACACACACACACACACCCTCCCCCCCCCATAATGTTTTAAGTAAATTTACGATTTTGCGTTAGACGCATTCATAGCCATCCTGGGCTGCATGTGGCCCACGGACCACAGGTTGGACACCCCTGTGTGAAAACTCCCCTACACTTGATCTAAGTTTTAAACAGGATGCTAAAAAAAATACTCACCTTTTACTTTCCTTGGTATTTATGATGGCTTCATGGAATTATTAAATTGGGTAACTATGTTAGTAGTCCTCAAGAAAGGAATTAAGCAAAAAGAAAACCTGGCTCTATTATTTTTTATTTTTATATTTAAGTATATTTTATTTTTAAAAAATATTTTATTTATTTATTTTCAGAGAGAGGGGAAGGGAGGGAGAAAGAAAGGGAGTGAAACATTGATGTGCAAGAGAAACATCAGTTGGTTGCCTCTTGCATGCCCACAACCAGGGACCTGGCCTGCAACCCAGGCATGTGCCCTGACTGGGACTGAAACCGGCGACTTTTCAGTTCATAGGCAGGTGCTAATCCACTGAGCCACACCAGCCTGGGCTAAAGTATATTTTATTGATTATGCATTACAGTTGTCCCATTTTATTTTCTCCCCTGGCCTTATTGTTAAGCAAATGGAAGGCAGTGGAGTTTTTTGGTATGTGCATCAGAATGAACCACCACTAGATGGCAGTCCTCTACAACCTTGGGCCTTAGTTGGTACAGCTTTTGAGTAAAGAAAGGTATGAAATCAAAAATGGAGGAATTTTGATCCCAGCTAATACTTTGCCTTTTACTAAAAATAAATGCACCTTATCCAAGTTATGAAAAAGTAACGGAGTTGTTTTTTTAAAAGTCAATCATAGTAGGTAATTTCTCTGAATATAATGTAAAAATGCATCCGAAATGTGCTTTTCAAATTTTATTTTATTATCTTTATCATTGTATTTATTTAGAAGAGAAAATTTAGAGAGTCACAGAGGCAGAAGAAGTGAGCCAGTTGGGCTCCATAGGCTCAGAAAACAGGTTACAGAAGCAAAAGGAGGGCCCTTGGAGCTTAGGAGAGAGAAGGGAAAAGGTAAGGGCCAAGTCGGGGAGGCAGGGGGGGGTTTGCATTAGAATCATAATGGGATCTTGATAAAAGTGCAGGCTCAGCCCTGACCTGCAAGGCTCAGTTGATTGAGCTTCTTCCTGTGAAAAGTTTGCTGGTTCCAGTGGGTCAGGGCCCATGTCTGGGTTGTGGGGCCGGTCCCTGTACCGGGCGTGAGAGAGGCAACTCATTCGAGTTCCCTCTCTCACATCGATGTTTTTCTCCCTCTCTTCCTCCCTTCCCCTTTTCTAAAAATAAATAAGTAAAATCTTTAAAAATGCAGGTTCTGATTCTGTAGGTTTGGAATTACACCTGAGAATGTGAATTCCTGACCATTTCCCAGGTGATGCCAAGTCGCACATTCTAGGCAGTTGCCACCCTGCCCTGCACCAACTGAGTGCTTATCATGAGCCCGGCAGCGCCCCAGGTGCTTTACAGGTTGAGTAATTTACCCAGATATACCTAGTAAGGGATGGCGGAGGGGTTCTAATCCAGACTCTGCCTCCTGAAGCTTGTGTTGTTAATCACACTGAACTGCTTCCCTTTCTGGGCTGTGAGTAAATTTACCTTCTTCCTAGTTCAGAAAAAAACTTTCCTGTTACAAAGGGCTGTGCTTTGGTTTGGCCACAGTTAGTGCCTAACTTTGATTCTTCATAGATTATGGAAA